ACCCACAAAAACCCAAAGCCCTAATAGGTTAAAACAAGTCAAACAACCATTCTACACAGATAAAACCTTCACAAAGGTCAACTGAAGTAATCCAGAGCTAAAAGTGAATTGTGCAGATTTTCAAGGAAGTCACCAGTCATGCAGCATAAACAAATTATTTACACACTTGCAAGCCCTCTAAGAAATGTGCCCCAAGAAGCATTAACTTTGTTTTTTCGTGTGCCATCCTGAAGACCTGCACATTTTATTTTTCAGATAATTTAACATTTTTAATAGAGTGTGTTCTCTACCAAGTGGTAATGCTTTGGTACTATTCATATAGGACTGCTTATCCTAAAGACTTGACATTTCCCCAAGAGGAACTTCCGCTTTAGAAGTTTCATCTAAATTAAAATCTTTATCAAACATCAATATGGAGGGAGGTGACACGGGATGCAACATATACAGTCAAGTTACCTCTGTATATTTAGAAATTACTCTTTCAAGATATTCGCACCAGAGAGCTTAGTCTGTCCTGCTTAATATTCAGTAGCACAGGTTTGAATCATCAGAACCTTGGCAAGACCTTAATATTTCAAAGTTATTAACAACTACCTATAGGGGCAAGTCCATGTTTACTGAGTTATGACAAATTTATTATAACGAAGGAAAACAAGTATAGCCAGCCATCTTTAAAAAATGCTCTAACCACTGCTTCTGAATATAGAAAGACTAAAACTACATACATTTATCATAAAACAAATCCCCTCTGTCCCCTGAAATTCCCCTAATTTCATTCATTAGAAGGGGATTTTTTTTTTTTAATAAATGGATACTAGGAAAGCCCAAGGGGATTTTTAAAAAAGACTTAAAAGCACTTTACAGCCGCATTCAGCTTTCCTATGAAATACTCAGCATCTTAAATATTGGGTTGGCCAAAAGGCTCGTTTGGGTTTTTCCATGACATTGTACAGAAAAAACGCAAACGAACGTTTTGGCCAACCCGATATTATGTATATTTTTTTTTTCTTTTAGTAAGCTAGACACTGGCTTCAGAGTTTGTGGAACTGAAGGAAAAATAACCCACTCAAAACTATCCTAAGGGCCTCCCTGGTGGCGCAGTGGTTAAGAATCCGCCTGCCAAGGCAGGGGACACGGGTTCGAGCCCTGGTCCGGGAAGATTCCGCATGCCGCGGAGCAACTAAGTCCATGCGAGCCTCTGCTCCACAAGAAGAGAAGCCACTGCAATGAGAAGCCCGCGGACCGCAATTAAGAGTAGACCCCCCCTTGCCACAACTAGAGAAAGCCCACGCACAGCAACAAAGACCCAACGCAGCCAAAAATAGATAAATAAAATAAATAAATTTTTAAAAAACTCTATGAAAAAAACCAACTATTCTAGAAATCGTCATTTGGCAGAATAGCAGGTATCCAAGTTAAAAATAGGAGGGTCGTTTTGTTGCTTTGTTTTCCAAAATTTAAATTGTTTTTTGTTTCCTTTCTACATAAACCTCAGTCACCACGCATGAGTGGAGATGGGCAGAGGCTCTGGCCCCTGTGCCTCCGGCTTCTCAGCAGCTGCTTTCTCATTGCTGCAGCAAGACTTGAATAGATGTGTGTCAGATGAGGACTTCCCCAAGACAGCCTTTATAGATAATGCCACAGCGTACTTTCTGTATTATCCAGTATGTGAGATCCAAAATGGAAAACACTGTTAGAGCCAGAAGCCATCTCTGTATCTGAGCCATCATCTGACTGGTTACTATAACAGGGAGATTGAGCTGGAAAGGCACTTGAGGTGGTACTGTGAGCATCAGAATTACGACGTTTAAATTCCTTTGGCAGTTTGCTGATCTGGTTGCTTTTTATCCTGTTTCCAGATAAGAGTTTTCACTTTCTCTGGTTTCAGTGTAGTCTTCAGACTGGGTCCTGCCCTTGCATCTACCACGTGATTCCAGGTTTTTGTTTTTGTTTTTTTGATCCTGATGGTAATTTCTTCCAACTTTTCACAGCAGGACACGGGCATTACAGATGTCTCCTGATCAAGTCTCATGTAACCGAAAGCAGCTCTGGAAGTCCTTTTCATAGAGTTTACTGTCAGTGAATCGAGAACTGGAGGATTTAGCTCTGCAAATACAGCAGCCCTCTCTACTTCGGTATATCGTTGGCTTGTGAAAACCAAACACCTCTTCTTCTGGGCAATACTCTTCCAAAAGCAGCCGATCCACATGCAATAACGTACTGAGGTGTGGAGTGCAGGAGTGCATACCAAACCAATCCCCCCCTCCAATCACTCCCTCCTCCTCAACTGCCATGTCTAGAACGATTGCCTCCTGCAGTTCAGCAGCAATTAAAATTTGAGGTTAGTACCAATCAGGAAATAAAGTAGCAGTCCCCTCTACTTCACAATGAGCTTAAATGTTTGTTTTGAGCCAAGCAACCAGTTGTGGCCACCCACAGTTTCCCCATCAGTTTCTCTTTCTACATTCAGTTAAAAACTACAGCTCCCAGAAGACCCCCTCGGTAGGAATGGGGGTCTGGAAGAGGTACAGGTGTGCCTGACCCTAAAGCAAGCTCATTTAGCCCCACCCACCCTGCCTTAATATCATTCTGGAAAAGCACCTAGAAGCTTGTTTGTTTAAGGGGCAAGGGCTCAAGAAACCTCATCTTGTGCTGGTCCTGAAGGAATCACTTAAAGATATTAGCCAACAGCAAGGAGGAAGGAAAATTATAAAAGATCTGGCAGATGACACAGTTCAGTGGAACCTCAACAAACATGACAGCCAACTAACCCTGGAATCCCCACAAAAATGAAGGCCTCAGCAACCACACCCCGGTGGGCAGCCCCAGGGGCTACGGGACGGAATGTGCAGGGGGCAGAGTCTCCTTCCACGATGCCATCTGAATGAGGTTCCAAAGTAAACGGTCACATTGTGAATTGCTATTGCTCTTACAGGAATAATTTACTCCACATAAGAACTTGGGCTCCCTCCTTACCAGTTTCAGAAGCTTCATTAAATGTAATTACCACAGCATTCACTATGCCAAAAACATGGAGCTACAGCCATTGTCTTAAAAGAAATACATCTAAAATGGTGCAGGCACTCTGGAAAACAGTCTGGCAGTTACTCCAAAAGTTAAACATTGAATTATCATATGACCCAGCAATGACACTCCCAAGTGTATTCCCAAGAGAAGTGAAAACGTATCTGCATGCTAAAACTTGTACACAAATATTCATGGCAGGATTACCCATGACAGCCAAAAAGTGGAAACAATCCAAATGGCCATCAACTGAGAATGGATAAACAAAATGTGATATAGTCATATGACAGACTATTATTCAGTCATAAGAGGGAATGAAGTACTGATGTGTGCTGCAACATGAATGAACCTTGAAAACATTATGCTTAGTGAAAGAAACCAGACACAAAAGGCCACATATTGTATAATTCTATTTATATGAAAAGTCCAGATTAGGCAAATCCATAGAAAGTAGATTAGTGGTTGGCAGAGGATAGGGAGAGAGGAGAATGGGAGTGACTGATAACAAGTGTGGGGTTTCTTTTTGGGTGAGGAGAGTGTTCTGGAATCAGGTAGTGGTGATGGCTCTACAACCATCAGAATATATGAAAAACCACTAAACTGTACACTATACACAGGTGAATTTTATGGCATGTGAAAGATTCCTCAATAAAACTGCTGTAAAAAAAAGATAGAACTAACCCCCCCACCAAAAGTTAATACAAGGGTTTGGGGGAAGTATGGCCAGAGTGTCAATTTTTATTCCTACTTTTTGGAGTTTCGTTTGTTTTTTTTTTTCAAAATTTCCCTCTCTAATGTGCAGCTATTACTTCAGTAACTGAAGCTCTGGGATCAGAGAGATTCTGCTGGATTCAAATCCAATCTCTTTCTGGATGAACTGGATAATCTTCGGCAAGTCAATTATTCTAAATCTCAGTCTCCTCATGAAAAATGGGGGGAATAATATCAATGGCCTCATAGGGCAGTTGTGAGAGTTTAATAAGAGAATGCTGTAGATCAGAGCCTGGCATATTAGTAAGTGCTCAAGCAATATTAGCTGCTGCCAGTTTTGCTATTAAGAATACAATGCAGTAAAATAACATTACTAATTATCATAGGTAGCACTTACATAGCACTGCTGTGGTGCTTTACATAATTTTAAGGTGTTTAGTCCCCACAACTGCCTTGTGAGGTAGGTATTCTTATGCCCATTTTACAGATGAGCATTTACTGTGGAGTAGATGCACACTTGCCAGTGACATGCAGTCTGTACATTCTGTGGGAATTTAGGAGCAGGTAATGAGTATAGAGAGCTAAGGCAATCAGGGAGGACTTCGTGAAGGAAATGGCCCTGGAAGGAAAGGAAGGTGAGCCCTGGATAACCCCACATGGGTGGGAAAGTGTGGTGAGGACCCTGCAGGTGAAATGGAAGTTACCAAAGAGGCGGGAAATATCAACATTTGTTCATTGTGGGTGATGAATACAGATTATATTATTTCCTGCACTTCTGCACCTTAGAAATAATTACTAATTAACAAAAATTTAAAATATTTAATCATGTTGTAGAGGGATAAAACATTTTCTTTCCCTCAGTCTTTGACCTTCTTGTATATACATACAAGAAAAAACTTGCTGGTTAGAAAAATGAGTAAATGCCAGTTTCTTTATTCTTTCTAAAATAAAGAATATTTATTCTACACTAATAGTATACTATACTAAGCATTGCTTGTAAACACCGTACTGTTGTTTGTGATCCCGTACGAGTGTCTGTATAAGCCTTTCCATGCACTGAGTGCTACTCTGAGGTAGACACCAGGAAGCATAAATGCTGGGTCATAGATCCAATTATTAAAACGTGAATCAAGCAGGGGCCAATGGGAAATTTCTGTACTTCCCTTTCAATTTTGTTGTGAACGTCAAACAGCTCTAAAAAAAAATAGTCTAAAAAAAGTAAATCAGAGACTGGGCAGGCTCGCGTCCCAACTCCGCTTGCTTACCGGGCATCCAGGTCGTTTCTCACGTGGTCGGGGCCGGGAGCGTGAAGTTCGAATCCCCATGTCTGCGCGGGCCCGGGCGGCACCCGGTGCAGCCCTCCGGGAGGGAGGACTAAGTGCGAGGACCTGGTGACCCACTACCCTCCGGGCACGCGCTCTAGCCCCGCCTCCCGGCCCCTTCCATTGAGAAACCCCTTAGCGATCACGTGAAAGAGGCATGCCGGCTGCTTGACGTCACGCAGTGCGGACCAATGGTAGCTTCTGTTTATATCGCGGGGGGGGGGAGGGTCGGAATATTCACGCCCCCGCTGCCGCCGAGTTGCCCTCTAGCGCGGGTGGTGAAACCTAGCCAGGGTGGGAGGCAGCGTGGCTGCATCGCGGCGGGGAGGGCCGCGCCGGTCGCCTTCTGCAGCCGCGTCTCCGTCAGTTCCCGTCGCCGTCACTGAGGCGCCGTGCGGCTCCAGTCCGGGGCGGAAGCTGCGGCCGTCGCGGCGGCCGGAACCGCGTCCCGCCTCAGCGCCCGGAGGACATGCGGGAGAGAGAATGAGCCAGAGGGACACGCTGGTGCATCTGTTTGCCGGAGGGTACGTCCCAGGAGGGGCTTGCAGACTGGTGCTGAGGGCGCTGGGCTGAGGCCGAGGGCCGTGGCCTGAGACGCGGGCGAGAAGGGAGAAGGGGCTTCAGCCCCGGGAACCGAGTGAGGCCCGGGCGGGGAGGGGTGAGGGGACTGGAGCCGGGGGAGCTGAGGGAGCCCACGGGACTGAGGCCGAGGCGGGGAGGGGTGGGAGGGCGACGCCGGCAGGACGTCAGGCTTTGGGCCCGCGGAACCAGAGCGAGGCCTAGAGAGTGGCCGGCGGGGCTGGCGTCCACGCAGGCCCAGTTCACGCGCCGCGGCCTAGCGGACGTCGGGGATGCGGGGCCGTGGAAGGCCAGTAACTGCAGGCCTCACGTAGGTTGTTCGGCCGGGGCGGCGTTAGGGGGGAAAGCGGGAAGTGCGGAGGCCGAGGACAAAATGGGCGCCGGGCCTCCTCCTCCTTCCGTCCCTGGCGCGCGGGCTGCGGGGCTGCTTCACGTCGCTCACGCCCCGCCTCGGATCTCCGGCAGCTGATTTCCGGGCCCTCGTCGGCCCCGGTGGGTCGTCAGGGGGCTTCCGGCGCCAACTGGAAGGCTTTGGGGTTCTGTCGCCCGCAATAGCTGTAGGTTTCTAGGTCTTGGAAAATTTCCTTTCTCCAGGTTGCAAGATGCGCTACAAAGCGACAGTGCTTCTGGGGTCGGATTCTATTCCTGAGAACCAGTCGTCTTGTACACCCGCTGCTTTTCGTCTGCTTAAAAGGAGAAAGTGGGGGGTAGGGGAGAAGTCAGAAGCTTTGGCAGTAGTTACTGTGTGTACAAGATTAAGACTAAACTTAAAGTCTCAGTTCCCTGATTGCCAACTTGAGTACTACAGATCTTTTGTTCACCCAGTTTAGTCTCCTTTTTAGGTTCTTTCCAAATTATTTGGAGAGTCGTAACAATTTTAAATTTAGGAGTTACTTCTTATCTGTAGGATCACAGTCTTATCAAAAATGGCTACGGTGAATTATGCTGAGGCGCTTTGCTGCCATTATGACCATATAAAGTCGCATCCCTTTAAAGCATACGGTTTGTTTTTAAATCGACTACTTTACGAATATTAAAGTAATACATAGGCGGTTCTATTCACAGTGGCTTGATTGGAGTTAAACGTGTGGACTCTATTGCCAGTTATGACAGTACTTTCCTTGAGTTGGCACATTCATTGAACAAACATTTATTGTACACCAATTATGGGCCAGGCACTGTTCTGGCATTAAAATACTTTTCATTTAATACTGTTCATTTAATTCGTGAGACAGGGTTTAGGCAGGGTTTGCTTTCTATATTTCTGATACGAAAGAATAATCTTGGCAAATTAAATCATTTTTTAAAAACGATTAGCCATGTAGATGTTCTTGTAAAGATGTGCAAATAATTGGGTTCCCTCCTATAATTAGATCATAAGGTAATTTTTGAAAGTTAGGATACCACACATCTACTTCTGGCCACTATTTTGAGCGAAAAATGGACACACTTTTTGATTTTAAATCATCTTCATCTGTAAAATGAAGAAGTTGTACTAAGTGATCTCTAAGGCCCTATTCTAGGTCCTAACATATTTATTGCTCTGCATTCAAGATTCAGATGTCAAATTTTGTTTAAAATTTATTTGAAATGTTAGCTTGATTGCACTAACTTCCCAGTTTGGATTAGGATCATCAGCCACGTTGTTGTTACTAATGCCTGTCAAGGCCCTTATGGTTAGCGTTTTCTTTAAAAACAGAAATGGGGCATTTTTGCAGCATCTAAACCCAAATAGCTTTAGGAGCCCCTCTACCCCCAAAGAAAGAACCTAGCATATGCAGGTTTTTTAGAGTATTAAATGAAGTACTTGTTTATAGGTCCTGACACAAGATAGGGACTCAGCCTTATAAATTTTCTTTTCCATCCCATTTCGATTTCATGTTTATATGTGGTCTCATAAGTCATTTCAGTAAAACTTGGCTTACCTTTTTTAGAGAAACAGTAGAACTAGGAAGGATGGTAAAGATCATCTGGTTTTGCCCCTTCAAAATATGGGAAAATACCAAGGTAAAAAAAATTTACCCAACATTAAACAGCTTTTCATACATGTAAAATGAGAGTTAAAATAATCTCTGAAGAACCTCCCAGCTCTATATTAAATGAAATCATTTAGAATAGATTTCTGTATGAAATTTCTATAGAATATTCTGGAAGTCTGTATGCTAAGCATTATGGAAATGCAAACTGAGTTGTGGGTAATATTGTTCTTAATTGAAGATGTCTAGTATATCTCAAAGTTGCATATTTAGGCAATCATTTTTTGGACGTTCTTCATAGAAAACTAGATTTCATTTTTTTATCATGATAGAATTATGTAAATTAGGAGTTAGGAAACTTATTTTTTACTTTAATAATAACAAGATAGAGAAAAGGCGAGAGATCTTTTTATTAGCCGTTGTGCAATAACCAATAACATTTCACAGTGGCATTTAATCTTTAGACAAAAATTGTCTTAAGGTGGAGCCTTTGGATTGTTTTCCTGATGGTTATAATTGTATTTATTCAAATATGTGTTTATCAGGATCTCAGATTTCTAGTAGCCTTATAGATGTATTATTAAATCAGGAAAACTTGAAACAGACTAGCACTGGACCTTGAGTCTGGGTGACCGACTCACATGCATAACTCGTGCTTTCTTTAACACACCCTTTGGTCCCATTATGTTTTTGTCAGGGTTAATATTCAGAGTTTGTAAGGTCATTGGTTAGGTTGATTGAGTTACGGAGGCTACTCACAACTGCCCCAAAAGGGTGTAAATATGATTTAATTTTAGCTATGCTTTTAATAACACTATATGTTTGTGTATGAAGACATAAGCAGTATGTTTTTAAATTCTTTTATAGATCTACATTGTTTAGTTGTGTGTCAGCTGCATATGTCCACCAAGAGGCAGTTTGGGTTTTTTTCCATTTGAGAGAGAGATTGCCTCAAATGGGAGGAATAAACCTTCAACATTTAAGTGGATGAATTTCCTTCCTTTGTAGCTCCTGTGACAGCGAGAGCTGAATACATATAGTTAGTAATACATATAGTTAGTAATTTCAGATTATCTAAGAAATGGTTTGTTTTTATATCCTGGAATTAATCAATCCATTCATTTATCAAATCATTTATTTTTCATTTATTCAGTAAGAAACTCCATTTGGGTGTCAGATAATGTTGATTCTGTAGAAATTTTGTCATAATATTTGTTAAATTACTTGCACCTGTTTCCTTGTAAAATCAGGGCAGAAGTAGACTACTTAAAAGTATAATGTGGTTTATTTACACTTTGTCTACATTTTTTATTAGCCTTATTTCCATAATTTTTATAACCTTTTTCTTTTTAAAAATACATTTTAATTCTTACTAATAGATTGCAATACTAAGGTAGTTTGCTTATCCTGATGTATTCTCAAACTTATTTTCCTGTAAGGGGATTAGTGTAGTATAGCATTGTGGGTCAGGGACGCCTGGGAGTTTCCAAGACCTTTTTGGTGGTCTGAGACATTAAAGCTCTTCTCATAAAAATACTAACACATTATTTGCCTTTTCACTGTGTTGACATTTGGACTGATGGTGCAAAAACAATGACTGGTGAAGCTGCTGTTACCTTAGCATACATCAAGGCAGCATCACCAGACTGTGCTAGTAGTCACTAGCACTTGCAATTTAAAAACACAGGGTCTCTTAAGAATGTTCTTGAAGCAGTAAAAATTAATGTTTTAAATCTTGACTCTTGGGATTTCCCTGGTGGTCCTGTGGTTAAGACTCCACGCTTCCACTGCAGGGAACGTGGGTTCAATCCCTGGTCAAGGAACTAAGATCCCACATGCCACATGGCACGGCCCAAAAACAAAAAGTCTTGACTCTTGAGTACACATCTTCATTTCATATTCTGTTTGGCAAATGGGAAACATGAGTAAAGCATTTCTACAATTGTTTCATCCTCAAGCTGAACTAGCCTCTTTTTTCATGAGAACCACTCTTAAAAGAACAATTGATAGAGAGACTATGACAATTCAGACTTGAGTATTTGGCAGATATTTTCTCAAAAAATGAAAGAAGTGGGCCTGTGGGCCTGTTGGTTCAAGAAAAACCACAACAAATGATAACATTTGTTGCCATATGATAAAATTTGAGTTTTCAAGCAAAAATTAGAATTTTTGAAATCTTTTTTTTTTATCGTTTATTTATTTATTTATGGCTGCGTTGAGTCTTCGTTGCTGCATGCGGGCTTCCTCTAGTTTCAGTGAGCGAGGGCTACTCTTCATTGTGGTGCGCGGGATTCTCATTGCTGTGGCTTCTCCCGTTGCTGAGCATGGGCTCTAGGCACATGGGCTTCAGTAGTTGTGGCTCGCGGGCTCTAGAGCGCAGGCTCAGTAGTTGTGGCGCACGGCTTAGTTGCTCTGCAGCATGTGGGATCTTCCGGGACCAGGGCTCAAACCCATGTCCCCTGCATTGGCAGGCGGATTCTTAACCACTGCGCCACCAGGGAGGTCCCTTGAAATCTTGAATAGATAGAAAATGTAATTTTTAAAATATTGTATCACAAAACGTATCTACACTTGGAAGACCTGTATAATCCAGTGAAGCAATATTTTTCAAATAACCAATGCATGATGT